TGACAATATTTATAAGAATATTTCTATTTAATAAAAGTTAAAATTTATTGGCATAAAATTTAAAAAAATACTGCTGAAAACTTGCCTCTTGTGTGTATAAACTGGGTAGAGACGAATAAAAAGTTTCCTCTCATCTGACCACCAATATGACCAAAAGTTATGAGATAGCAAGAAAATGAGGGAAAGATTAAAGTTATACATGCAAATTTCTTCTAGTGTAATGTTACCCAATAAAGCAAATGAAAATACTAAGCAAACAAATTGAGAAACAAATCACTCAGGTTTAAAAAGTTAAACCACAAGAAAGCTGATTGAATTATATACATATTACTAATTTTGAAAATCACTACTAATTTAATCTCTACCTTGCAAAATAATTGGGATAATTCTGAATAAGATTTTTTGGCAGGGAGGAGGAGAGCGAAAACTAAAGTTGAAATTTGAGTTGATTGGGGCCGGCCCGGTGGCGCACTGCTGCAGTGCGCCGCTTGGGAGCGCGGCGGCTCTCCCGCTGAGGGTTCGGATCCCACATACAGACCGGTTCCCGCTCACTGGCTGAGCGAGGTACGGGCGCAACACCAAGGGTTGCGATCTCGTTGCCGGACATGAAAAAAGACAAAAAAGGAAAAAAATAAAAAAAGAAATTTGAGTTGATTAAGTGGGGGTTAGATTTGATGCATCCAATGAATGATCTTGCTCCGGAGAGGACATTTCTACAGTTCTTCATTTTTTTTCTATTAGGTATGGATTTCACGGGGTTTTCCTCCCACTCTGGCAAGGAGGCCAGACTATCAACCACATCCTGCTGGACAGACCAGCCCCGGGCCTGAAAGAAAGGAATCAGATTCTTCTGCACTTTTTTAGCGAACTTCATCATCCAAAGATTCATCTTGCCAGCATTGTCTTTGGGGAAATTGGAGAGGGTCCAGTACTCAGCAAAGAGCTGGGTGAATGGGTCCCACCCAAAGGCCTCTGGAAGGTGGACAGAGAAAGAAGGGGCAGAATGAGGTGTCCAGTCTACAAAAGTCACACTCCCCCAACACACGCATAAAATTACACGGTGATGCTTCGTTATAAGCTGTCTTTTAACATTGATGGAATTCTCATCAGTGGCTTTCTCCTTTTCTGCTCTCTAATATGCCCATTCCAGTGACGGGCGGTGCATCTTATCTGCCTTAATCCAATCTCAAAGACAAAATTTGTGCTTTTACATTACATGCACCATAGTAGTTTCTCAATAAATGGTAGTTACTTTTAATATTATTCTTTCTCTCCCTCCTAAGCATAATGATATGTAAGGGCTTGAATCTGGCTGAGGTGGGCATGCCTCTCGTCTCGTGTTGCTGGAACCCTACCATTTGAAAACCTATGTGAACTTCTTGTAAGTTACACCTCTGCCACCATCCCAGGACACCCACAGAATTTTGAGTAATCCCAGATTAATCAGAAGAGCAACTGACTTTACATTCACTTGCAACCTAATTGGACTCCTTCCCAGTTTCTTAGACAGAGCTTGACATTCATCCCCACCTGACCCTGAAGGGTGTGTGTATGCGACTGTGTGTACATAGCCATACACCTGAAGGGTGTGTGTACCTGGCATATGACTAGGAGTGTCATCGTTCTTTTTCTTTTTTTT